ATCGAAAAAGTTCTCACTTCTCTATGGAGACGTTCGTGGTGTTTGTGCGCCATTTTCGTGCAGGAGAACTCAAGTCAGATGTACACTGAATCTTTCCCTATGCCTCGCACTACCTGGGCTGCGCAGGATTCCGTTTTCCCTCTGTTTCCAACCGCCAGAATCTCGAAACCGGTTTGTGCACACTAAATGGTCTTCGTCTTCTTCGAAGGTGGTTGGAACATGATTAATTAAGATGTTGCGCCTAACGACGAATTGAAAGTATCGATGCAGTCAAAGAATCCTCTACAAGGGCTTTAATACCTAGATAGTTATGGTGCACAATCAGCACAAAGTCGCAATCAACAGACCATCTTGAAATGATTGGCAAGTGCCAAGGGAGGACGTTCAGAAAGGACAAAGCATGCTCATGAGTAAAGCCTTCTTGAATCGGGTGCAAGATCCGTTTCCACCTCATTTATCATGCCTGGCGATGGAGAAGTCGGAGTAGCAGTTGTAAACACGACTATATATGCAGGAAAAGTGTCAGATGTCAGAAGAATGATGATGCTGTGAATCAACTTTTCTGAAGAAATGTTGTCCCCACGTGATCCGACGGTTCTTCCCGGGAAGCCAAATTTTGCAGCAAGTTACAGCAAATTCACCGCTTACTTCGTTCCGAAAGCGGTCCAAAGACACTAACACGAGTGACCTCGTCCATATGATGCAAGGTAGCCACGATGCGCGATGCTTAACACGTGTAGGCTGTGCAAACATGCAGTGCGTATCTACACCCACAATGCGTACTGTGCATGTTGGGAACGTGGGAGGGGTACGCCAAACTAGGTATCGAATATGCAGCCCGTGCTGGTCGGATGACTGTCTTATAGACGGGCGGTCGATTACCAGTTGGCTTCCAAGAGACCCCAACAATCACGATGGAACGACCAAGGTTTAGAAGATCAAGACGAATGAGAAATACCGAAGACCAACCACGGCGAACTGCTGTCCCACCGCGAGGACGGCCTACTCCAACCCACCCCAAAGAGACAAACGTAATACGATTGCCTGAAGGAAGTGGCTTGGGGAGATTTACCCTGGATGTTGGAGGTCCTCTTAATGCGGTGACGAGTGTCTGTTGGTCGAGAAACGGAGAACAAATGTTCTCAGGTTCTCGAGATGGAACGATCCGGGTTTGGTCGTCAGGGACCGGAGCCCAAGTCGCTCTCCTTCAGGGACACACTAACACGGTTCACGCCATCGCAATATCTTTTGATGGGCGCTTCATTGCAAGCGCATCCTCTGATTGTACTGTTCGCCTGTGGAGCGTGCGCACTTATGAAGCAGTCAGCCCGCCCTTCGAGCATGCCGACGAACTCTATTGCGTCACATTCTCCCCTGACCGTAAGCGCGTCGCATGTGGCGGGAAAGATACCAAGGTGTACCTGTGGGATATAGAGCCATACACTAAGCCAGAAGCTGGTATCACGGGTAGCTGTGAACCAGCTCCGGAATTGCCGCTGGCACCCTCAGATGAAGATGTAAGAACCGCTTGCACTGTGCGCTCAGTGTTCGAAGTAGCTGATGCGGGCAATTATTTCAGGTCCTTAACGAACTTTTGATACAGGAGGTAGGGAAACATTGCTTATGCTTTCAATACTCATAACCAGCTGCAGGTCGCTGGCTTCCTTCCCCCGTTGGCGCTCCAGAATGGAGTACGTATATCGTACCATAGCGCGATATCTCTGATTTGACTGTCATAGGTTCCATCCGATCTGAATGTTCCCTCAGCGTTTACTGAGAATTGGCCCAGCAACGAGATTAACAATACTCCTGAAGTAAGTGCCAATATGTGGGCTGTGTAGTTTACGTTTCAGACGCCTAATTATCATCCAAAGGACTCGGACCAACCAGAGGAGTCTCCTGAAGTCCTTCCTAGCCCGATACCTCCCTCATCCTCATCCAAGCGTCGTTTCTTGGATAGACTACCACTATTTCGTCGTCGAAACGATGCCGATAATTGTGGTGCCGCGAATTCGTAGGTATATCTGCCGCATCACATGAGCAATCATTCACGATTTCCAGGGTCCTGGCGAAAGGATGATGATATCTGAATATATTCTTCGTTTCTGATATATCCCATAGAGATTGTGTGACTCACAAGCGGACCAAGTTGCATTAACAATATCGTTCGACTGCAACCTCTGTATCGATGGTGATCTTGTATCAGTTCAACTGATTACTTTACCTACCGTTTCCGCTTCTCAAGAAATGGTTGTCACAATATTTAGCCTATTGCTGCCTTGTTTTGCGTATATTCCCATTATGAAAGAATGGTGTGTTTAGCTCTCAAATTTGTGTCGCTGTCATGCCACACGGGAGTACTATATACTCATATTAACATTTTTTTCGCAGTTGCGTTGAGTCTTACCGAACGCAGTTGTGGACTTGAGCCCCATGGAGTGCACACCCCTAATTTGAATATCTGTTCTTATGCAGGGAATATTGCGGTAAGTCTCAAGGGTTTGGGATAACAGTGACTTACACGTTGTGAGTGTCCCAGCTGTTCCGAGGGTCAGTCGATCATCCTTAACTTGCCTATATAGGAAAATAGGACGTTCAAATATGCACGATATTCTCACCTGTTGCTGATCGATCGACCCTTCACGCACGATTCTGAGTCCGTTGCGTGTGGCACTTGAAATCGAAATCGGGGTCAAGGCGGACGCCTCCTCCGCTTCCGATTATGTCTTTGCCTTCTCGTTCTCGCGCATCATTCTAACGTTCTCGGTTCTAGAACAACAAATTAGCACCATTGATACGGGGAGACTGCTTACCCCAGTCAATGGTTCCAAATGTCAGTAGTGCAGAAGAATCATTTGAAACGCCTTCAGGAAAGCAACAAGAAAAACGACGTACTTCTGGACAATCCGTTTCCTCGTTATCCAGTTAAAAGAACCAAGGTCCTAGCAGAGAGGTTTTCTCAAATCCAGCAGCAGCTCTTCAGTACTTCCGAAGAACTCTCTGATAAGTACATGCGAGGCCCACAGGCGAAGAATCCTGAGATACCGGTGAATGTGGGTCGTTCATTTCAATGATTTACACTTATTTTTGACGTGGTAGAGAATACACATAATAACCCTCCATCGTCGATTCGTTGAAGTCCAGCTACTAAACAACTTCGAAAGCCACTGCATTCCACGGACGACTTTTACATTCAATCCCTATCGCTCAGGCTGCACGGTGAATCACAAGCAATTTTCCTTAAGACTTGCTTATGCAACTACGTTCAATGGATGCCAAGAACTGATCCTTTTGCGTTTGGTCGACTGTATACTGCGCTGTCACGCGTGAAGAATCGACGAGATACAGTCTGTTTATTTGTGTCAACGAACGGGGAAAAAGATTGTGCCAATATCGTGTACAAGCCCTTGCTTTTGTAATGAATGGATCCAGAATCACAAGCAACGACCGGAGGTGACGGCTTGTATGTATATATGAGAGAGAATTATTCGTTTAGCGGGCGTAATGAAAATATTGGTCCTGCCATGCAGGTGAGTCGGTTATCAAATCAAACCAAGGAAAACTACTGAAACGTATACATCATGAAAAAGTGTGCTGTATTCAATTCGAACAGTTATGGAACGTCACCCAATATGAACATCATGCTGTGTAATCACGTGAGATAAAGAACTTGCGCCAGATATCGCAATTCATACGCCGTCCCGTGATGTATGATGTCTGGCTTCCATAAAGTTGTTTTTCCCCACCTCCGCCATCTTCTGAAGCGCACCATATGCATGATAACATCTTTAGTCACATCCCTGTTGGTGTGCCCCTGGTTTTTGACGGCCATTTTGGGACGTATAATGTGCTCAAATCGCCAATCCATAAACTGTATAGCCGACAGGCCGACCATTAAGTACATTAGGGCGAACATGCTGTTTTTGCGAGTACTGACTTGGGCGAACACTTCAGGATTTAGTCGTTAGTCTCGCGCTGCGTCCAAATGTTATGACAAATAACAAAATTTGCAGGTCAATCGCATAGTTCTGCCTATTGTTAGAACGGGACGTTACGCCATTGATCAGGAATGTGATATCACCCACACAATTCCGCGTTACATGCCAGTGGGGATAGATGGTGGGGCGGCCGTGCTTGTCCTATTTAAGTGCTTTATACGGGAATCTTTCTTCCTCTGCACTCGGTCCTTTCGATGATGACTTCTGTGAGTGCTACCCCAGAGCAGCAAATCCCGACGACGGACGACTTTAGTCTGCCTGTCTCTCTACTGTCTTCAATAGATAAAAGAAGTTCTTCTTTACCCACTGATGACCTGGTGGATGAGGTGGAGGAACAGTCATCGTGGACAACGGCCATCTTTCGTCGAAGGCAGACGGTCGCCCCTGACCCTGATGCAATCGCGACCAGACGTTCTGTTTTTGATGATCCTGATCTTGCGCCACACTATTGGCCCAAGAAGGAATACGAGAATCTCCACAGATTCGATCCAACCGCTCGTTGGACGTACAGGGAGGAAAGGGTCAGTTTTTATACTTATCGTGATTTAAAGTGAGGTTGCTCATATTACATGGGAGGAAGGCCCTGGTCCGCAAGTTGGATTGGAAGATTATGCTTATGGCAACTATAGGATTTTCCGCCTTGAACTTGGACAGGAGCAATATCAGCCAGGCAAACTCGGACAGTTTTTTGCAGGATCTTGGATTGACTACAGACGGCAAGTTTGTTCGATTGCTATCTGAACAATATTCTGACTTCTAGTCATCCAGACTTCAACCTCGGAAATACCGTGTTCTTGTTGGCATTCTTATGCGCAGAGCTACCTTCACAACTTGTCTCGAAGCGAGTGCGTGTATTTACTGTAGATTGTTTCATGTGGCTTATGATCGTATTGAAGGTTGGCCCCGACCGCTGGATACCAACGCAAATCTGCCTCTGGAGTATGCAGCAGAACAACTGTATCAAAACAGTTCTCATCGATAGCTCACAGGTTTCGTGTCTCTGTCACAATTCTGGCTGACCGGTAGGACCTCGTTCCTGATCTGCCGGGCGCTTCTTGGGTAATATTATGTAATTACTGTCCCAAAGCTTATTCTCACTAACTAGTGAATTCAGCGCCTTGCAAGGCGGGTAAGTCCAACTCCTGCCCGCGCTCGAGTACACTTTTTTTACATTCCACAGCTATATCCCTGACCTGATATTATATCTATCTTGTATGTCAGTTACCTTCCACCTCATCTTATACTACTGACTTTTCGGACAGACTTTTACACGAAGACGGAGCTACCCATGCGCCTTGCCCTGTTCTGGATGTCTTTGAACTTTGTTGGTATCGTTGCTAGTTTTTTGGCCTATGGCACGCTTCACATGGATGGTGTGGCTGGCGCTGCTGGATGGCGGTGAGTAGAAGTTTGATGCTCATTTCGCAAAGGCCTGACTTGATCGAAGGTGGCTGTTCATGATTGAGTGCGTCTATTTCTTTCTAATGGCATAAGACGCGCGAACTTGACCCTCCCACAGGGGACTCATCACTCTGCTTATAGGATTTTCCAGTTTTTTCAACATGCCTCCATCGCCCACGCAGACCAAAACATGGTTCCGGCCAAACGGTTGGTTCACGGAAAGAGAAGAAATCATTATCGTCAACCGGGTACTTCGGGATGATCCCACTAAGGTAAGTAATTGTGTCCCAGTCTCGTTAGATTCTGTAACTAACTCACCCCCTCAGGGTGACATGCACAACCGCGAGGGCCTTACATTGCGTCGTCTGTGGACAGCAGTGTGTGATTATGACCTTTGGCCAATTTACATCCTGTACGCCGTTCCCCTGATCTTTGTAAGAGCTAGGCATTCATGAAACGTAGCGGCCTCATGTTTGGCATCCCGAATACTCCCCCTTCGACATATCTCACTTTACTACTTACGGACATCGGGTGGGTATCACAAGTATCCCTTCGTTTGACATGCTCAATACTAGGAACCCAGATTCAATACATTTGATACCAATCTCCTTACGATACCCTATCAGGCTGTCGGAATTGTCACCATGTTTTTGATCACGCTTGTCTCAGAGCTCGTCAACGAGCGTTCTATTGTGTCGATGATAGAGGACGTTTGGACGTTACCTTTCCTTGTTGCACTCTATGCATTGCCCAGCAGCCCTAATCCTTGGATATTTTTTGTGAGTGGCGCGTTTTACGTAGCGTATCATACGCGGCTTACTCAACTGTTCAGGCTGTGGTGACTGGTCTGTTGTCATATCCGTAAGTTCGCACTAATATTCTTGAAGACCATTCTTGACGTCCTCGTGTTACCAGTTATACCCATGCAATCCAGGTACTACTTAGAACGATCCTCGAGTGAAATATTCATCTATTGTTGCAGGTGGCGTGGTGCTCTCGTAACGCCGGGGCAGTGGCAAGTCGAACAGTCAACGCGTCGTTATACAACATGTGTGGAATTCTCCATTTTCAAACTGGAGACATACTCACCTTCCACTAGGTTCGTGCAAGCCAGCGGAATCATATCCGCACAGATCTACGTAGCTAGCGAGGCTCCCAGATGTATGTCACTCTTATTTTTCTTTCCCAGGCAACATGATCGTCACACTCATCCACGCGCGCAGACCAACGCGGCAACATGATCCTCATTATCATCTGCATCGTCAACATCTTTATTTTGTACCCAGCTTCGAAGGCATATTACATCTGGCGCAACCGACAACGAGCCAAGATTTGGGATGCGATGACGACAGAGGTGAGTTCATCGTGGACTTTCTAAAGAGCTAGGGTTCTGGCGCTAAATACTTGTTAAATGACAGGAACGTGTACACTATCTGACTACGACCAAGGATGTTGGGAACAGAAGACTCGATTTCCGTTTTGCGCATTGATGATATGTTCAATTATGCAGATTTGATCAATACTGCATTCGACTTGCGAGTCTTGAGAATGCGAGATAGGAGAAGCGTAATACCGTCAGCAGTTGAGCTCGAAGTGTCCGCCGAAAAATAGATGTATTCGACAGGCCCTGTGTCTCCAGCCGAAAAGCTCGGGTTCATCGAGGCTACATACAAAATATCTGAGTATAGATCGCTAATTACGGCGCGTTTGGTTCTCAAATTTTCGTCGCTGTCATGCCACACAAGAGTAGTACACACTCATACCTTAACATTCTTTCGCAGGTGCATCGCCGGGTCTTGCCGAATGCAGTTGTGGACTTGAGCTCTATGGAACGCACAATCTTGCTCCAGCACCGTGACTTTGAAACCCCCGGCTTCTGGACATCCGTCATCCTTACATTCGGGCCAAGTCCATGCTGGCCCTACCCAATCTCATACTATATCCTCCGTTTCCGCACCATTGACACATCATGATAAGCGGCATATGTCTCTCCCGTCTACACTGGCAGGCTTCCAAACGTCGAGCACTTCTGCACTCCTGCCAGTGCAGACGCAAAATTCAGATGAGTCCGATCCCGCATCCCTCGATACCAGCTGCGATGGTCAGCAATCGATTTTGCTCGCACTTCAGGCATTTTATAAGTTCATAGAGGACGCATTCTATCTTACCGAGCAATCTTCATGTTGGCAAATTCCTAGTACGCCATGACCATCAGACCCCCACAAAAAGCGCAGTACTCAGTCGACCCTGTCACCACTCAAAGATTCAGATTCATGATCAATTGGCCAAGTTACCGTAGGAGAGAAATACAAATAAAACAGTGACGACAATAAGCAAGGAAGCACCCAAGAAGCCCAGCGAGCAAGATCGTAGTTACTGAAGGTTTGAAATCAAAGGTACCGAAAGTAATACGAAACGTGAAACGAAGCTGTCATTTCATCCGCAAGGTCTAGGGCAACAACACTCTTTTGTTATGATACCTATCCCCTTCCGCACTGCATCCCTTCCTCTGATTTCTAGTGCAACATGCAAACAATGTGATAATTAGGAACTAATAACTCCTTTACTGTTGACCAACTTCTCAAGCATATCGCTGGCTACAGCCCTGAACTCTTTCACAGTAACGGTGACACTCTCTCCCTCTCCCTGCTCTGAATCGCGCCTCTCCAGTGCTCTGAGAACATCATCCACATAACTAACAAGCTGCTTGAGACCATCTTCCAAAGCAATCTGCATATACCTCTTCGTGGCTTCCACAAGGACGGGAAGGAACTCGAAACAGTGAATATCACCAATTAGAAAATCGGCATAGCGCCATGCCATTCTCATCACGTTCCACCACTGCTGCTCTGTGATAGTATCGAATGGTGTAACCGACAACTGTTCAGATGGGATTCGGAGGAGGATACCAGATAGGTAAAAGGCATGCCTCGAGTATGATCCGCAGTACTCTCCGACCATGCTGATGCACCGATCTATATGGTGATCCCTAGACAAATGGGGGTGCCAATTGGAATTACGCGCAAGGGCAAAGATCAATTCGAGATAGCACGAGTCGCGGTCATCATGGAAGAAGTGGTGAGGATCGTCGGCGAGTGTGGTGTCTGGTCGTGGACAAACAGTAGTCAGGATAGCGGGGGATAACTTAGTCAAAACCATGTCCCGCAGATTTACATCAATGGCGTCAATCCAGACAATTTCTTCTCGGACAATGCGAGCAGCGCGAAGAGCAGCATAACGCAAATGGACGGGCATGTCACTGCCCATGCAGGCGACGAGGCTCTCCATGAATTGATGCTGTTTAGCAGGGTTGCAGCGCACTTCCATGAGACCCATGAGCAA